CTCAAATCCAATACCAATCTAAAGAACAACGAGTTTAGTTGGAGTAATTTTTATTCAAACATTCTAAAAACTCAAACTTAATTGTTTGAATTTGCTTAAATTTCTTATAAACTTAATGTAAAGCAAATAACCTTATTAAGATTTGTTGCAAACCTCATGAGTTTGTCCACAACATCATAGGTCAATATCGATTGCAAGACACATGATCAATCACTTATGTACTAGTTGCTATTAGACACTATTGTGCATCATTTTGTGCGGGGATTTTATCTTCAAGGTTGTCTTCTTAGGATAGTTTTCTTGACATCTCTCTATGCAACACATATTACAAGTTTTTATGGACAACACAAATATAAAATAATGAGAACATTTCAATAAATATTCATTCATCAAAACATATTAGAAGTTTTTATGGATAAACTTGAGAAACCTTCCATTACAAAAACTTTCCCTCTAACATAGGGATGGTGACCCCTTTTCTTACATTGGGTGGTGACCCTCTCTCACACAATGGGTGATGCCCCATTTTCTTGCATTGGGTGGTGACCCCCTCTCTCACAATGGGTGGTGACCCCTTTTCTCATAGTGGGTAACTAATGTTATTACAAGATATTTTCTATTTATAAAAAGACAGAATGATCATTTATTCATGCCTTTTCATTGCCGACTCTTCTTTCACAACTCTTTGTTTATGACTTTTCGCTCATGATTCTTTATTCATGATTCCAAATTTTGAATTGGTTTTCCAACAACCTCCCCTCAATTAAAATTTCTAAAGATTCATCTTTAGAATTTTTTTACATCATGTTTTTGCTCTTCAAACTTTGGCATGCTCTTTGCCATACCTCTAACCTCAATATTTGTCCACAAGTATTTGATGGTGACACTTCTTGTACTTGCGTCATTGTTAGCTTCTCGGACACGTCTCTTGACTCTATTGTCAAGAAGATTTTCAACACAAAATTTGCACCATTGTTAATTGTCAGGACACGTCACTTAACTCTCACTAAGAAAACTTTCGACATAAGGATCCACACAATTCACCATCAACTTCATCAAATCCTCATCTAACTTCACTAAATCGCAACATATTAGGAAAAAAAATTTCGCACAATGAAGATCAAAATGTGGATACACACAAATGCAACACAGATATACAATAGTAAATACATGAGTTTAACGTAATTCAACAATCTTTTATTTATGTTTATGGGATCATCTTAACATATATTCATTCGTTAAAACACATTATTAGTTGAAAAATTTGAAGAAAGCTTTTCATTACAAAAATCACCCCTTTTACATAGGATGATGACCCATTTTCTTTTATTGGATAGTGATCCCTCGCTCTCTTAATGGATGATCACCCCCTCACTCGTAGTGGATGACTAATATCATCACAAAACTTCTTATTTATAGAATAAGACGAAATAATTATGTATGCATATCTCTTCGTTCACAAATATTTATTCATGACTTTTCCCTCATAACTTTTCGTTTATAACTCCTTATTTATGATTAAAATTTTAATTTGGATTGATTTTATGGGAATAACAAATGGAGGATTTGCCGAAAATTAAGCATGCATTTGGATTAGGGTTTTCTCTCTTCATTTAGTGCAATTGTTTGGTACAATAAAGCATATATCTCCTTTATTCAGTGGAAAATAAAAGCTTGCAATTGGTACCTATCTGGGCAACCGCTTTCCACGTTGAAGCTTCATTTGATGATTCCTACGTTCGAGCGTGATAAAAGTTAGCCCAATTTTGTTCCACAGAGGTTAATAATTGGTCAAATGTAGAATCTGCCACGTCAACTAGTCGCCATGCTGTAAGCTTTTCGTCAATTTTTGACAACCAGTGTAATATGCACTATGCACGTTAGTCAAAGTCCCAAAGATACATCCACGGTAAAAACTGTAAAGTCTCTGTCCACTGTCACTCTTTTAATCACTTTTTTTTTTTATTTTATAAAACAAATATAATTATAATTTTAAAAAGGAAATTAAGAAAAATTTTCTAATAAATTTATATTTACAATAGAATTATAATAATTTTAAATATATATATATATTTTTTTTACTTATATACTTGTATTTCGTAACATAGCTTTTTAAACATTTTGAAACCGCACTTTATAATTGAATTTCGTAAAATGTTACATTAAAAGTATTATTGTTTTTTTAATAGAAAACAAACTAATCTAGAAATTAAATTTTTTTTTTACAAGAAGAAACTAAATATTTCAAAAGTATATAAGCTGGACAACATTTAAATTGTTCGTAGAAAGTTTGCACGCATTTAAAATATGATGTTAAAAGTTAATTATTTGTGCATAAAAATTAAAAAAAAAATCTTAAAAGTTACTTCTAAGTTAAAGTTAAAATTCAAAATATATATAAGTTTTAAGAAAATGGACAACAATGTAAGAAATCTTTGCATTGTCAATTCATAGTAGGCCCCAAATCATTTAAGGTTTAAAAAAATCATTTTTAAAAAAATATTATTAAAAATGGTGTTATCAACATACTCGATACAGTACACTCTTGGATGTACATAAAATTATTAAAGACTAGAAATTTAAGAGAAATACTTTTTAAATAATAAGTAAGACTTAATTACAAAAATTATCATTTCGATCCAATAAAGTTTAACAAATATTTAAAAATGTGTTACTTAGTATTTCTCTCATTATTAATTTGAATTATTAGGTGATAAATTTCGTTATGATCTATATTACTAATTTCATTATTAAAATTGTATAGTTCTAAGATTATTAATTGAAAAGAAAGAATATTCTATTAATCTTCAAAAGATTTTAAGTTCTATTAAGCATTATAACAATAAGTATTTTGATTTATTTTCAAAAATAAAATACTGCAAGAAGTATATACAAAAGAAATTCATATTCTACTTAACATATCTTTTTAACTACATGCACTTTTTAAAGCATCATTATTATTATTAGATTTTAATGAGTATGCATTAATTGACAGTGTAAAATATTTCACATTGTCAATTAATAAAAAAAAAAAATATTGCAACGACTCTCTAATTATTTGTTATAAAAATCAACAAATTTATTATCCATAATAGTTTGTAATTGTATGACATTGTAAAACAAAGCATATAACCTATTTTTTTCATATGGTTATGGATAAAAAGTAGTTTTTAAAAATTAAAATTACTCAAACGATTTTGTCATTTTATATATTGATAGTTAAATATTTTGAATACTTAATTACAAAACTTCAATAATAATTTTATAATCGATAAAAAAATGAGAATTACAAATTATATTGAATTTTAAATATAAATCTAAAGCTTCAAAATTTCACACAGCCCTTGTTATATATTTACTAATAATTAAATAAAGGAGTAGGACAAAAACATAACTTAAATTAGTGCATCTTAAATATATTCATACTCTTTATAAACCTTAACTTATCGCTAAATCCTTATAAAACTTTACTCCGGCCGTAATATTAATATTTTAAAAACAATTTGAATAATGTGCAAATCTCACGTACACCATATTTTTCAATTACAAAATCTTCATAGGTGATCTCCGACAAAATAATCTTCATTGCGGATTAGTCAAGTCTAAGCTATGGCTTTCTAGAATCTAACATGTATGAACTCAAGAAAGGGCCATCAACATCAAGAAGCTAGGAAAACTCACTCTCTAAATATGATAACGCTCATGCACATTATTTTTATCAGATTCCATATTAAAACGTTTCTAGAATTAGTTATATTCCAACCATTCAACCTATTTGAATTCATCTCGTTCTATATAACGTCAGTAGTAGCGTCACTCTGTTACAGATACATTGGTTGTCCAGTTCCCCAAATTTAATAATTAAATTTGTTATGAACTGAAAAACTCAATTATCAATATTTCAATAATTTTATCCACTAATGTATTAATTGACCACAAAAAGAGATATCTACTAGTCAAACTCATAATTTTAAAATTTTATAAAGTGAGATCGATGGTTTTGCACCAGCCGTTCATACCATGTGATGTATCCACCAAGCAGTCATTTTTTAAGTGTACTTATAGCAGTTCTACCATCTGTCATAAAAATTATATAATAATAATAACAAATTATCCAATCTCCTCCTAGAAGATTTGACAAGTAACCTTGGAAAATTCATTGGTTGTCAGCAAATTTCTTAACAATATTTTTTCATTTACCCATATAAATATTAAGTAATGGTACACTGCTATATATAGCGTATACAGCCATGTATGGCCGCGGCATTTTTTTTTTATAACAAATATCAGATATATCTTCGTAGACAAAAATAATAAGTATAGAAATTAATCTCGTAGATTATAATTACACGTATTTTCGATCAAATCCACCCAAAATTTTGTTCTCTTGCTTGATGTTTACCCGTGCACTATTTTGTGAAGAATCTGTACTTTTGAACTTTACGTAGATCTTACATTTTTGTTTAGCTTAAATGGAAATATTAAAAAATAGAACATCTACTAATGCTGAAAACCGTGGAATATTAATTAAACAAAATCAAATACGCTAAGTATTCTGTATATGTTTTCTAGAAGGTTATATATATTAACATTAGTTTGACTGACCCACGGCCAGAGAGCTATACGAATATAATAGAGTTATATTATTCATTTATTTTTATTGATAAGTTTTAGTTTTAATAACAATATAACTTATATACATCATTAACATATATATTATAAAAAAAATTGTTCTAGGATACAAATGATTAATTATTGCATCATTTGTTGAGTAAAAATTATATGTTGCAAATATATATTAATCATTAATTGTTAATTTTAGATATTATATGAATTATGTACATGGATAATATATATATTATTCTACATTTTATAATATTAATTTTTATCTCTCTTTATTACACTTGTTGATGTTACCTTACAATTTCTCTCTCTGTTTTTGACTCTATTATTAAAATATTGAATACAAGTACCGTAGAGTTATGAGTTTGGTACCTATAAGTTGTGTGGTGTTTGCACACTTTGAAAACAAATTATCTGGAATTCCCTGAGCGGTTTGTGCGTGTGTTGTATGAGCAGGTGAGGTAGCCGCGTCCCCAGAATAAGGCAAAGATGTCCACCACAGCAAATACAACCTCTGAAGGTATGCATATATGCAATTTCAATTGTTATTCACTTGTTTATATATATATCTGTACCGGGCTTCTTCTTATTTATATATATATACATGCATATATAATTTAAGAGATTGAGATCTGAGAGTGGTCAATAACTGAACGCACCTCAAATATGATTCATTTTTTGTTGAATGCATGTTAATGTCTGGATGCAGAAGTGAGCAGTAATGAGTGGGAATTCATACACATGAGCGAGCAAGAGGAGGATCTCATTTGCAGAATGTACAAGCTAGTTGGTGACAGGTATATATATATTGCTACAACTCTCTCAATTATGACCTATCATCCCTGCATTAATCAAAAAACCCCATCACAGTTTAAGGATTTCTGTTTCTGCTACCGGAAAATTTTAAATCAGTATAACGAAATGATTTACATGTGAATTTAGTCGCTAGTTCTTTGATATTTTGTAGGGACAAAATTCATGGCATAAAGATAATGTTAATGTTATGATTTTCATTATTATGGGGGGAAAATGACTGTTCGTCTGCCTCCCCCAAGTAGTTTTCAACTGTTCTCTCTTTTCCATTTATTTTACCGAGGATGATCATACAATATTAATTAGAATGTTTCGGTACTGCAACAACATAAAGATAGACTTAGCATGCACCCAAAAAGTTAAGGTACATGGAAAATGCACCTACTAACCATGGATCAACTCATTCATTTATATTGATTTTAAAAGTCAAACTAATCGATGGTTAAAGTAGTAGATGTATCCATTCAGATTCACCTTTCTTTGGTTAGCGATACATGCCATCGGATCTGAACTTTGACTATTTGGTAGTTATAGGTTGTTTTACCAAATCGCTGAAGGGGCATAATCACTACATAGAGACAAAAGTTTGGCAGAGAAAGTAAAAAGTTAATTACCTTATCAACCTATCATACAAAAATGGATTGAGTTCTAAATTATTGAACATGTAGTTAAAGTTAAGTCTTGTTTGTTAATCCCATTCTATCTTTTTTTTTATTTTTTTTTAATGGTGAATTCGCCTCTAGTTATGAGTTAGTCATCAATTCTGAAGTAACCCATTTAACTGCTGCAGGTACACTGATTAATTAAGAATCGCTAATGTTGTCGTTACTGGTTTGTCTAATTCAATAATAGTCGTTGTTGGCCAACTAAACCTATATATATATTTAAGTCTATTTAGAGTAGTTATATACTAATTTAAAAAATTAAGTTTTAAACAAAAGTTATTAATAAGCATCGGTCTAGTAATTAATTGGAAATTATAGTAGATGTATAAAGATTTAGGTTTGATTTCATTCTATTTTTATTTTAATAAAAAAATATATTAATGTCGAAACCAAAGGCTAATTCAAACTATTTTATATTTCTGTTCTAGTGCATGAAGCAAATAAAAATCAATATTATGCAGCTACTACAACCACAAGAATCATATAGTATAACTTGTACCACTCTCCCTCGTTAATAGTTACATCAAGCTATTTAAAAAAAAAAAAATCAAAATCAGTTTGTTTAGTTGGGTCCTGTAGACGAATCAAACAAATAATTAATGTAGCATACTTATCCCCAATTAATTGAGAAGTTTCAAACAATATTATAATCCAATTTTATAGTGCATAATTAATCGACAAGTAATTTTATTATTTTAGTTGAATTTGGAGTATCTTTTGACAGAGTACTAAAGACTAGTTTTTAAAATAGTGAGAATTATTTGAAATAATGAAGTTTATCTAAGGAATGTATTCAAATTTGACTTGGACATTTTTAGGCAAAAATGAAATGTAGCCAAAGCGGCGATTATTATGATCAAGAGAAAAAAATGGGTGTTGCATGCATTGTAATCGAAACAATGGGAAGGGAAATTTAATAAAACATATTTGAATAGTGAAATGAATACAGTATTAAGATATTTGAATAGTAATGTATTTAGCATTTACATGAGTTAGCGATGGAACAGGTGGAATCTGATAGCGGGTCGCATTCCAGGTCGTAAAGCAGAAGAAATAGAGAGATTTTGGATTATGAGACACGCTGATGCTTTTTCTGTTACAAGAAATCAAAGTAAAGCCAAACACTCGTGATTCTTTTTTCTCTCTTCAAGTGGGCTAAATTCTCGTAAATATACATTAATTTTGTTCTGGATTTTACAGAATTATCCCCTCATTGTGTTCCCTCTCCTTCAACCTAGAAGCTACGGAAAAGTTTGCATTTTAGTTTGTATAAAAAAAAAAAGTTTGTACCAGTCTGCTTTAATTTAATTGAGTGATTTATTCACACTTTCACTTGTCATTCTTTTTATTTATTAGTTTAATTCAATTGTAATTTGACTTCTATCTCCTAATAACTAATAATTACTTATAGAGAAATTCTACGTTACTCTATAAATATAGAGGAATTTAGACATTTAATGTATACATATAATATAGCCTCGTTTCTCATGAAAAATTATGTAGAAAAATGGTGATCCATTAATTCTTTGATCAGTAAATGGTGGTCCACTGAAAACAACCTTTTTTTTAGTTGCTTATTTTTTATTTGTTTTTTACAAGTCTTTAAAACAAGAAAGTAAATTAAAAATGTGACGACAGTTTTATAGTTATATATAATAAAAATGAAAATGAAAATAAAATTAAATTATCGAGCCCTAATGTTTTCTAAATAATATAATCTAATATAATAAAAAAAATTTGAGTTTAATAACTATGTGCTGACTCTTTTGGTAAGTATATCCACTCAATTAAAAATTGGCAAGTATATAAAGTATTATAGATTTCCCATATAATGAGTCTGTTTGTTAATTTTTTTTATAAAAGTGTTTTTTTAATAAAATAAGCATTTTTTTTTTACTTTTTGTTGAATTTGTCTAAATCACTTCTTTTTAAATTTAAACAAATAAACTCAATATTTGACAATAAATCACAATTTAGTTGTTACATGAATATTTTTATTCTTTTTTATCATATTAACAATGGAAGATATATTTGTGCGAGAGTAGACATGAGACGTTATTAGGTTTAGATTTCACTAAATAACATTTCCTTTTCATAAAATCATCATATGTTATTTTGGAACTTCAAAACTAACGTTAGTTTTTAAATTCTCTTTAAATCTTAATCTCTTATATAAAAAGGACAATGATAACTTGTAAGCAATATTCATTCACGACATAAGAATCACTAGATGTTTTACTATAGTTTAAGGTTAAGAAAATATTTTTTAATAACTATCAAAATCATAAATCCAGCTATGAATGATCAAATAATATATAACATTAAGTAAATAATAATAAACAAAAACACTAATATTGAAGTACAATGACAAATATATTAATCAAATAAGTACAAGAGAATGAGTTTAATTATATTCTACCACAATAAAATAAAATATCATTTGACTTTCAAATTTTTTAAAAAAATTCATAGACTTAATATATGCATTAATAATTTTTTATTTAACAATCTAATAATTAAAATTTGATGTAAGACATGATTTATCGAGTGAAATAAATCTATAAAAAAAAGTACAAATTCATGTTTTGTTCATTGAAATGCTAAAAGAAAAAATAAAAATAATTTACAACTCATGCCTACACTTAAAATACAAAATCAATTTCTATCTTAATTAAAATCAAACCTAAAATATGACATTTAATCATTAAAAATATAAGCCCACATCCTTTAATTACTTTTTTCTTTCCCTTAAGAAACCCCACATTAAATAAAATAATTTCATGTGTCTCCTAATTCTCCTATATATAAGGAGGAAATCCCAAACTTAAAAATACATAACAACAAAATATCATCCAAACCCTAATAGTGTGTTTGGATGAGGAATTTACAAATTTAAGGAATTTTAAATTCTTAGTATTTGAATTACTTTGATTTCAATTTCTATCATTCTTAAAATATTTTGTTTGGATGAGTCAATTCAAATTTTTTAAATTTTAAATTATTAGATTGAATATGATAATTTGATTCCATCATAGTAAAATTGATTTTAAAAATATATTTATATGTTGAGATTTTTAAATTAAATTTTATAAAAATAAATATTAATCCATTTTTAAATATTTAATAATTTTAAAAATTAATATTAGATAATATTTAATAATTTTAAAAATTAATATAAGATAATATTTAATATTTTAAAAATATTTTTGAATATTCAATAATTAAAAGAATGAAGAGATAAGATAAAATATATAGGTGAAATAAGAAAAATAAATATGAGGAATTTCAAATTCTCCCATTTTTGAGAGAATTTGAAATTCTACTATTTTAAGAAATTTTACAAATGCTTGGATTTCAAATTCTTTGTAAATTCTTCATCCAAACAAAATATTTCACCTCAAAGAATTTGAAATTCTTCAAATAAATGAATTATCTTATACAAATTCATCATCCAAACACACAATAAGACAACTTTTTCTCAAAGACAAATGAAAAGTATTGAGCTAATAACATTTTTTCTCTCTCTTTTAAACGTAACGAAAAACATTAGTTATTTTTCTGTCAGAATTTTCATTAGAGGATGTATGATTCCTTTTATTTATCTTATCTTATATCTTATATTTATTATATTTTATTATTATTATATATGTTCCCTTCTCATATTTTTAAATTATTATTTTTATATATTTTAAATATAATAATAATTTGTAATAATATTATGAATTATTAGTAGCAATCATTTTGAATTTACTTTCTAATTTTATGAAATTTCTATGTTATTTGTAATCTTTATATCTGCTTCTTGTTTGTTTACTGTGAAGAATTAGTTCTAAAAAATACTTTAATAAAAATATTATTATTACAAGTTATTAGAAATAATTATCTTGAATTTACTTCTTGTTTTAAAATTTTTAGCTATGCATGGGGTTATTGTTATTTTACTATATCTAACTTTTCCATCATTAATTCACCGCAAATCACTTCCAACCGACAATTATACCCTTCAATTGTCTCTACTGTTACGCAAACTTATAAATCTAACAAATCTATTAAATATTATCGTTGTATGAATAATAAGAAATATTTCATTCAAAACTATGTCAATCTTCAACTAGTTGGTTGCATGCGCAACACCAAACGCCTTCAAGTGTAACAAGTTATCAACAACATGGTTTCTCTAATTTATTGTCTTTTTCATTAGAGAAGGTTCACATGCTCTGACGACAACAAGGGCATATAACCAATTACTTGAGCAACACTCCTAGAATTGATGATGACTTTGTGATGTACTTTAGATATTTATGTCTTCTCTATTTTCTGCACATTTAAATGGTATTATTAATTCGTTGGGTCATTCTACGTTATTGGTGGGTTGAATCAATGTTCAGTGGCAGAGTGTTTGATTTATTATTAGAAAGAATTCTGGTGAAATAAAAGTCGTAATTAATTCCTTTACTTTTTTTTTTTAATTTTCATAGTATTTTAAGATTTCCACTAATCTGACATAAAAATAAATAAAACTTCATCAAACATTATTTCTGCAAAAAAAAATATCAAATTAATCGGACACTGTTATACGATTACTAAAAAATCGCCTTAATATATTAAGTATATAATAAATAAGATTATTATTATTATATATGTATTATAATCAACTTAGTTACTATAGTTAAATATAATAATGTGATTGTTTGAAAAAAAATTGATAAAAAAAATTAAACCAAAAAAGAATAAATATATAATTATGTCACATAACATTATATCTTTTTAACTAAATAACTAAGTTATAGAATAATTCACTAATATATGATTTTTTTAATGCGTATTTTAAAATTAGTGTTTGAAATTTGGAGAGTAAATGAAAATTAAAATGTCATGTCAATCACTATAAGTTCATAAAAATTAAATTATTCTATCCAATTTAAACTATATTTTATCATATTGAATTGAATTTTTTTTATAAAAATAATCTAAAATAAATTAAATCATATTATTTTAATTTTCAGATGGAATGATATTTTTATTCAAAATCCCTCATATTATTAAACAAGAAAAAAATTAATATATTGTATTTTGGTCATAAATCTGTTATCATCATTCATAATAATGTGAAACTTTTAGGTATATCAACTTCTAATCGATGTCAAGGGATAAGAATAGTTGTTGGAACTGAGGGGTAAAAGTAGTGTCGAATTTTTAGATATATCGACTCTCAACCGAGGTCAAGAGATAACAATAGTTGTTGGAACTGAAGGGTAAAAGTAGTTTAGATCCTCCTTTTAAAGTCAATGTTTCGATTGTAAGTTTTACATCATTAAAGTAGTTACATAGTTCAAGGTTTGTATCGGACCATTACAATTTTATCCTTAAAAAAATATGCCTTAGTAAGTTAAAGAATAAAAATATTTATAAACTATCTTTAATTTTCCTAAATGATATGGGACTTTTAAGTATCCTGAAATAGATTGTAATAATTTTTAATGATAATTTAATTCAAATGTAAAATTTATTTTATTTATAAATTTGATATTTTTGTATCGTAATCTATTTTTTAATATTTCTCTTCCTTTTTCCTTTTTTAATATAAATCGTATATTTTTCACTTTTTTCTTTTTTTAATCTTTCTTTCTCTTTCATATTTTAGTTATTTTTTCATAGAAATAAATACATCTACACGAAGCACCAATAGTCATTGGTATAATTAGGTTAGTATTTATGTTCTCTAACTATGAAATGATATTTGATTTCTGACTTTAGTATAAAACTATGATCAGAGGTATGACTTTATGGCTAAATGAATCAACTTGATGAGAATAAATTATACTTATAAAATTTTGGTTATACCCAAAAAGAAGAAAAAAAATACACCTTAATAAAGGTTCTTACGAATGCCTTCCTGAATCAAATTAGTCATATAATGTCTATGTATATAATTCTAATTATGATTGGGTGTTGACTATAACACCATTATCTTTCTTAATTAATTAATTCATTAATTATATATATATATATATATATATATATATATATAATAAAAGAATGTTATTTTATGTTGTTTGGTTGTTGTTATTTTATATATATATATATATTTGGTTTAAGGAAGGCTAAAATATATAATGCAAATTCTGATAAATGAACTTCATAAGTTCATAACTCTAAAATTTTATAGATAAACTAGAGAGGTAGGCTATAGAGTAATAGAGATTCCATTCTTTTTTTGAATTTGTGATAGCACTATAGATCCTTCCATTAGTTGAGTAGTGGTGTTGGATTGAAGATTGAAGGCTAGAGAAGGTTGAGAATTCAAAGTTGAGGTTGTCATACGA